CTCTCAGTCACTCTCAGCAACTCTCATCCTCTCCCAGCCACTATAAACTTCTGCCAGTCTCTCTCAGTCACTCTCAGCAACTCTCATCCTCTCCCAGCCACTATAAACTTCTGCCAGTCTCTCTCAGTCACTCTCAGCAACTCTCATCCCCTCCCAGCCACTATAAACTTCTGCCAGTCTCTCTCAGTCACTCTCAGCAACTCTCATCCCCTCCCAGCCACTATAAACTTCTGCCAGTCTCTCTCAGTCATTCTCAGTCTCTCAGTCTCCCCTCTCTCTCTTTCAATTAATAAATGGCATTCTGCCCTAAATGAGTCTACATTAATCGGTGTCACTGCTTAATTCTTTAATTTACGACCTTACTACATCAGTTCCACTAACTATACTCACAAGAAGAAGGTATTTGTGAGTGTCTTCTGGAGGGTCAGCATTGCCACCTATACTGAGGTAGATCTTCAAATCTGGGAAAGCTTTCTTCAGCTGAGTGGTCAGCTTGTAGTAAGAATAACCTGCTCCAGTGTCCAAAGATGGACTCAATGGAACAACTTCAAAAGTTTCAGCATTGATTCCTGCAAATCCATACACCAAGTGTGTGCAGAGTGACAGGGCTGGGCGAACATCATCCAACTGGAATTTTCCTGGTCCTAAAATAAAACAAATTACCTTCCAATAAATATAAAAAAACAAAACTACATCCTACAATTGTGAAGTCAAGTGAATTGGGTCTATTCAGTTAGCTTGCTTTTATAAAATCAACGAATTAATCAGAATTGAAGCATTTAAGTGTTACAGCTTGAAAGATATGATCAGTGTGTGAAACGCGAACGTTTATTTATTTCTTCTTTTTAAATAACAGTTACTCCTATTCTTTAATCACTGAGCGAGCGATAGAACATTTTATAAAATAGTGAAAGAAAAAGTTTCACCTTGTCGCTCGAAGGCCGTGCTGTTCCAGTAACATACGACTTTATTATGCTCATGAGGATCAAGAGCGAGCACCGATTGCGCACAAAACACCGCAACAGCGGCGAATATTAGCACTTTCATTCTCACAGGCTGGTTCTAAAAAAAAAAAAAATGCACACACGGCAATTTTAAAATATTTAGGTCAACATGAAATATTCCATTCAGAATGTTCATAATTTCATTCAGCATTCCATGGATCTTCACTTTCACAATCCATAATAATGGACGATCTACAGTTTCACGTACATAATATATTCTACTATATAAAAAATAAAATTGTTCTTCTTCTAAAAAAGGAGATAACTGGGAGGACGAAAATTATTGAAGTATTCAGTACATTATAATGTACTTACATTTTTACCACTTTTTATATTGTACAATAGAGTCTCTTTTTATGTGGCAGAAACGTTTCACAGAAAACCGCATATAAAAAAATCGCACAAAAAAAGACATACATAACTTACGTTGGAGTCTACAACGTACTGTTCATATAGTACATTCAACAGGGAACTCCCGAATTTGCATGAAATATACGCACCGCATAACTTCCAAACCGCATTAAAGAAAGAAAGAAAAAAAACGCATAAAAAGAAACTAGAGTGTACTAACATATACTAACAAAACAAGTTTACCTACTTTCACCTTGAATGTACCAATCTAACTACACAAAATTATTGCCTCCGTTTCCAAAAAAAACTCTCAAATTCACTGTGAACTCTGAAGAAGAGATTTTGGGCTCTAAGGGAAGATCCAAGGTTACAAAAGAACTGACTGGTGAAACGAAGAGTGTAAAAGCATCTTACCTTTTCGAAAGGAAGAAGCAGACTGTCTGCCGCGATTTCTCCGTCAGGGACTTTGATACCTTGGCCGGATTGGATGACGGAGGTAGTGGGGTTAGGGGATATTACGTCAGCGAAACGATCTTCCAGAAACCGTTTCTCTGCGAGCGTGCTTTGTATTGACATGTTCGCAGAGATGAGAAATCAAGGCCACAGAGGGGCCACGAAAATGTTTCTGAGAACTTGGTTTGTTTACAATTGAAGAGACGACGCGTGGACGATTATCAATTATGTTTGCGGAATTACCATTACCATTTCTTCCATTCGAGGAGAGAAAATTTATTTACTCTTGGGGTTAGAAGAATGGTGAACTTTGGAATATAACTGTGTTCTTGGAATTAGTACTCTGTGATTTTTCGGGAAAGTTTTTCTCATCGATTAGAAAGAAAATTTGGTATCGTACATTTTTGAAACATTGCACTGCTCTTTTTTTTAATGCAATATTTATTCTAATTGAAAACATTAAATACGAAAAATAGTACATTTTTTCCGATGTAACTGGTGCCATTTTTCATTTCGAAGAAGATATTAGAAATTTATATAAGATATTTGGAATTTTTAAAGAGTCATTTTTAATATTCCATTTCTTTTAGGCATTTCAAAATCAATTTTTAAATGAAATTCTTCGTTTCTTCGTGTTAAGCGAAACTATCACGAAAAGTGTTAATGAGTTCAGGAGTCTCTAGTATCATCCTCCGTTATTTACCGTACGGTGTAACATGTTATTCCCGCGAAATATCTACGATAAATAATTACGTATTAATTTACTAAAACACAGATGCAATATAATCATAACCTTTCGCTCCAGTTATCTCATTTAATGTATATCACATGAAACTTCGCGATTCTAGCCTCTAACCTGAGGTCCCACAATAATACGTAATTATACAGGGTGGCCTACAAATCTAATACTTTACCATTTCAAAATCGAATAACTTTTTTTCTATTATACGTTTCAAAAATTTTGCTTCAGATATTCAAATAAAGTTTATTCAATTTTTAAATGGCGAAACAACTTATGGACCACCCTGTATAAACACAATTTTACTAATTCCAAATCAGTGCTTTTACCATAATAATAATAATAATAATAATAATAAAGGTGGGAGAGGGACGAAAAAAGTGTGTGTAAGGTGGTGATACAGCGCGTGCAGCAACTTCCGATTCACTCTCCCTTTCCACTCACCCTTTTTCTTCCTTCGTCCGATATTTTTCGCTCGAAATATCTCGATAATACATACATTCTTTTTTTTTTTTTGCGTTTTTTTCGGTTTTTTCTATTTTGGGTTGGTGACAGTAGCGCCATGATCCATCGTAAATAAACACAGCCGATTGGCATTGCTTGTCTCTGCGCATGTGCGCGCCCTCGCTTACTAAAGGTGAGGTAATCCCCGAAAAAAGGTAGAAACGCGCGCACGCGCAGATCGTCCTATGATCTAAAGACTTCATTTATCATCTGTATTCTCGACACACACGGATACGACGAAAACGAAGGTACACTTTTTTGTCATTTTGTTTTTTTTTTCTTTTTTACTTTTTCATATTATTAATAGCTTTTTTTCTCGTTATACGATAGTCAGTGAAATAAACGAGGTTGTTTAAAACGTATATAATATATAATATGTACAAGCGCGAGTCGCGATCATAGCGCGAAAGACAAAGTTTCTTCATTTTTTTTCTCCTTCTTTACGGTTATAACCTCTCTTCGCGTGTTTCGTTCTCTTCGTCGCAGTTCCATCGTCGTTCGTGCTCGCGAAAGATCGACGAACCACGATCGAACAGTGTACGTCTCGATCTTCGACAGAGACGAAGAGTAAACGAGACCGCACCGTACAATGACTTGTATCGGTCATGTTCGGATTCGAAAGTGTTTCTCTCCACGATAATAGACTTCTTATAATTTATATCCTTACGATTAATTGCAACCATATCGGCGTATCGTCCCCGTATAAAGTACCGCGGGGAGTTGTTGATTGATTTTGCGTTAAACGGACACGCGATGCTCATCTCTCCTTCCCCCCTCTCCGACCACGCTAATTCTCACCCTCGAAACGAACAGCGGCCTTAATTGGACAGCGAAGAAAATGAACTAAAAGCTTGCGAAAGACGGGAGAAAAAGGTATCGCGGTCAAAGTTTAACGATCACACTTCCTTCTTCGTCGTTAAAAAGTAAGAAAGAATTAAAAGAGTAGGTAAAAGAAAGAAGTATAAAGAACGGTTGTCGAAAAATGAAGAGCTAGGCGAAGAAATTTGAACACGATAAAATAGGCTCCAGACACGACACGATCGGGGAAGAAGGGGGAAAAGCTTCAACAGATCTGAAACGCTAACGAAACGCGCAAATAACAGTCTACTACACGATATCTTCGCGAACATAGAAAAATACGAGTGTCTATTTACAAAACAAACGATAAACCTCTCTCTCTCTCTCTCCCTTCTCTTTCTTCTCTCGCCATATACTTGTCCGTCCCATTCCTCCTTGCACGCTCCACGTCTCTCTTTCTCTCTCACAAATAATATGTGTGTGTGTGTTTCTCCTCTTCGCATAGTACACACCACAGCAAATGTGTCCAAAAAAGAAAACCGAACAGAAGAAGTGTACGCTTTCGCGTTTCCGGTTTACAGGTGGAAACGCGTCACGTGTCAAAAATTGTAAAAGGCCATTCTTGCGAATTAGTATATACCCTTTTTGTTTGTTTTTTCTTTTTTTTTCTTTTTCTTTTTCTTCAGACGAAACACCCATCTATAGCTTACTGTTGACTGGAGGATCGGTTTTTTCTCTCTCCTCTCTCCTGCAATCATGGCCGATCACAACGTCGCCGGCCATATTTGACACGCCCGCGTCGAATTTTCTCTCTCTCCTCTTGCACTCACGCGCGCCTCGCGGAGCTTCTTCTCTTCGTTCCTTCTTTTTTCCTTTCTTTTTCCTT